CTGGGATTTGTGCACCATTGAAAATATTGTTCTTTTGGCTGATACCATGTATGGAATGTTAGGTTCCCATCACTACTGCCCCTTAGTTTTGTAGAGAAGACCTTTTGATGGGACACAAAGCTTTTCTTCACCTTCATAGGTGTATAGTGAAAGTGACCAAAGCAATGAAGATGGTGTCATGGCAGGATATATCTACTTTAATCTTTGTTTCCTCTCTTCTGAGAATCCCAATCTACAGCCTTGATGCCACCATGGTGAGAAGCAGCTCTTGAATTCCATAGAGAAGTTATAGTTGCATCTATTCCTCCCACACCACCACACTCACATTACCACATAGCGAAACACATACAAACCTGTGAGACTTTGTAGGGGCCTCCTAATGTTGACATCTGGGTGGAGATGTCCCTTTTAGCTGCATCAAGAAGAGCCAAAAGGTTGTCCCTCCTTCCACAGCTGTAGTTGGGAACATTGGCTTCTCCAGTAGACAGCATGTCGAGCAAGGCATCTGAAGTGTCAAGTGTGTTAAAATATTTGTCATGGATATTGTAGCCCAATGTGAGATTGTGGAGAAGTTGGGGATTCCTGTTGACCACTTCAAAGTTGAAAATGAAGCTTGGAATTTTTGATGCATCATAAAATAAAGTACTGTAAAAAAATGGGTTCATGTCATTACCAAAAACAAATAGGTTTTTTTTTTCTCAATATAATCTGATCCGTCTCCATAATCTACTGAGTCAATACTGATCCAAAATGAGGCACTAAAGATAGTCACCCATCATCATTTAGTATTTATGAGTGTCAAGAAGATGGGATGGAAATAGTCCTTCACCAGTGTTAAGAATCTCAAATTAATTATTAATTACAGAAGTACTAATTTTCATCTGCCCAGTAACCAGGATTCAACATCATTCAACCACTAAAGTAAAACCATCACAAAAAGAGAAGGGTGTTTTATAAGTGACCCAGAAAAAAAACTCTTAAAAACAAGTCATTCTCTATTCTTATAAAGATCAGGAATTTATTATCGATGAGCAGTTTTAAATATATGATAATGGGCTGTGCTGGGTTAACTAAAACCATTTCAGTCACACCTTTGAACAAAAGTCAGTATTCAACTGATCAATTTTGGATTGGATGGGGAAAGGAAAATTATCTCAACTTCTTCCAAGTATTTTCTGCTCCATCTTTGGATTTGAATCTCTTCCACATAATAAGGCATGGAAATTGAACCAATTCAAGAAATTAGATCAGTTCTGTAACATATGAGTAAGTGAAATAAGAAAAGAAGACAGAATTGCAAACAGACGGAATGCAGCTACATCATAAAGAATAACTTACGATTGAGACTGATGATATGGAGCCATGTTGAAAGACAACATTGTATCTGATAATTTTGTTGCAGTAACAACTATACTAATGAGATGGTCTCCTGGCCTGTAGTAGCTCCACGGTTTTTTTTCACCTTGGTTCTTGAAATACAGGAGGCACTTCATTCTAAGTTTCCCAGCGACCGGCTGGGGCACCAGCAGCACCAGCAGAAGCAGAAGGTCCATTATTCATGGGCCAAATTTATTAATCAATTTCTTTCCTGTTATAAATAAAAACCAAAAAGAGTGGAAATGAAACGGACCCAGAATGTATGATCACTATTGAGTAGACTGTTATCTCTATGTATATAAATCAATATTAGAACTATATTGATTTATATTGAAGTAAGGGAGAAAAATGGATATGTAAGAAACATTTACTAATGCGAAATTGTTGAAAAGAAGAAAATTGTAAAAATTTCTTTTTTGGTTTTTTTTTTTAAAAACTGTTTAATAAAAATTATTAAAGCTAGAAGAATTAGAGCTAGAAGAATTCAGAGCACTCTCACAAGATAGAAATGCAGCGGCTTTCTTGATTCAAAAAGAGAGAAACCAAGATTCCTCTGTAAAGGAGAAAGTACATCGAAGAGCCTGTCTCAGAACTTGTGTCCAAAGAGGCATTTATCCTTTTCTGATAAAAGATTCCTTCCTTGTTCTTTCAGTCTGATGTTTACCTCAAAGGCAGCCTCTGGAGAAGGAGCAGACGTTGTCTCAAACACCCAGGTGGTGATAATGACAGTGAGAAGCAATTTGTCCTCTGGGGTTTCTGAACTTCTTCCAGAGCTCCATTAAAAATCAAATTGTTCTATCTTATCAGTAGGCTTTGGTCACTCCCCCTCAAAGTCCCTATAATAGTGATGGTGAACCTTTTCGGCACCGAGTGCCAAAAAGGTCATGCGGAAACATCACGTGTGAACACGCATGCTCGTCGAGGCTGTGCTCCGGAAAAGCTAAATTTCCGGGTTGTAGCGTGCATGCATGCCCAGCAATCAGTTGGCCGGTGTGCATGTACAGGCCAGTTTTCAGCACTGCCTCACACGTGAAGGAATCGTGCTCCAGAAAAGCCGAACTTCCGGGTTCTGGCACACTTGCATAACCGACAATCAGCTGGCTGGCATGCATGGGCACACTGGTTTTCGGCACTGCCACGCACACGAAGGACAGCTGATCATTGCACATGCATACGCAGCAGAAACCTGGAGGACAAACAGGCAAGGCCGCGTGTGCTGGATGACACGGCTTCACGTGCAACTTTGGGCACGCATGCCATAGGTTCGCCATCGCAGCCCTATAACTTCTACTTCCTCAATCATTTCATCCCAATTAGTAGGGATTAAGTCCAGTGTAGCCGTCCCTCTAGTTCCCTTGAATGATAAAATAGATCTCACAGTCCCTGCAGAGTTTGTTTCCCAGTTGATGTCAGGGTGGTTAATGTCCCCCATTACTATAGTGGTTTGTTTCCTGCACAGCTCAGCTAACTTATTAGCAAAGAGTTCATCTATTTCCTTCAGCTGGTTGGGTGGCCTGAAGTACACACCAATAGCAAAGTCATTTTTTTTCCTGTAATATTAACCCAAATACTTCCAAGAAGGCTTTCATCCCTAGTATTGTGTATTTCTATGGAAATGTAATAATTCCTTGCAGAGGATGCAACCTCCCCCCATCCCGCCAACTCTATTGCTGAGTCTGTTTCTTTTGAACAATTGAATATCCTTCTAGTTCTGTGCTCCAATCATGGGTTTTTTCACACCATCAACCTGTGTTGAGTTTCTGGCACTGATGCATCCTTAACCATTTCTCCACAGGCAGAATAGGATGGTAGTTCACTAAAGGGGACAGGCAAAGCAGATACATGATAGTGTCAGGGTGGCAGTTAATCCCATTCTGCTTTTGGGTAATTGCACCTTGATTAGAGAATGGATCGTGGCTTTTCCTTCAAGTATACTTTTAAAGGAAATAAAACCCGAGATATATTCTAATAAACACATTTTATTATAAAGAAGTAAAAAACAGTCTTATTAGCTAAAGTCTTACTAGCTAATGATTACATCTTGGTAGCGTTCCTGCCTTGCCTCTTGGCAGGCAAACAAAGAAAAGTTAAAAGAAAGTGAAAGAATGTGGAAGAAGGAATGTGGACATGTGCAGTGGCTTCTGAGATAAGAGTCAAATCAGTCTACCGTAAGTCTCAGAATGGGAGCCCAGCTGACAAATACAAAAACGCAGTGATAGATAGCACCTGAGAAAAGCTCAGAGGTTTTGGAATCATGTGTGAGTGGACTGGCCTTAATTCCACTTCCGGAAGGCTAACTTACCCAGCAATTTCAGTATAGGGATACTTGTTGAAATGGTGTGATTTCAAGATAGCCATTATGTCAGAGTTTGAATATTCATAGACTGGAATAGATCAGCCAATGGGGACTGTTTGGATAGACATGGCAACAGGTCAGCCATTGGCTGGAATAGGGCATGGTAACAAGGTCAGCCAATGTATAGGCATAGCAGCCAATGAGGCTGTTTGGAGCCTGGGCGTGGCTTAGGTTAACTGATATGTATAAATATAAGTTGTGTGTTCCTATTATTGTCCTTCCTTCTGTTAACTGTGCTTCTGTGATTATGTTTCTGATTCTGAGAACGGCTCTTGGTATTGTATATATGTCTCATGTGTTGTTATGTATATAAAGAAGTTTCTTATTTAATGAATCCTGCTGCATCAGTTATCTGTGTGTGCTTTCTGGATGTGATTTCTGCAACAAACTCTGACACATTATTACAGAAAAGACGCCTCCAACTGAGATTGTCTGCTGGCTGGTCATGGTTTGCTGGCTCTACTCCATCCAGCTCCAGAGTCAAAGGACATTTGGTATAATGGACATAAAGTCCAGCTTAGTAAACAACAAGCATTTTGGAAGCATTCTAGGAGTTTCAAAATGAGTGGCAAAGGAAGGAAATTTTCAACAGAATTGTAGTTCAAGCCATAGTAATAGATTGTACTTGCACTTATGGGATGTTACTTAAAATCAGAGTTTTCCATTTTTTCAATGTAATTGAACATATAATCAACACTTTTTGTTTTATTTATGTTGTTTATTTAAACACTGTCCATTTGACAAGAAGTGACTCTAGATGGCTTACAGTCAAGAAAAAAAACACAAGATTAAATATTGTATACTAAAATAAAACAAATATAAACAATAAAATTAACTTTTATAGTTTGATCACTTGCTTTCTGAGGTATTACATAAACCAAATGTGCTGTACGTAACATTTCTGTATCCTATAAATAGACTTGAATACATTTGCAAGCTTTAAAAACCTGCTGGGAAAATTAATGTAACCAATAAATTTGTCACTTGTGGAATGTTACGTACAATCAAAGTTTCCCATCGTTGAAGCGTCATATATAATCAATGTCTTTTAGTGTTTGATCACTTGCTTTCTGTTGTATCACATATTGTAAATGTATGTATCTTTTCTTTGTACACCTTCCACTTGACTTGACCTCCACTTTTTTAAATATTTTTTTTTTACTTTTCCTGAATTACCTAGTGATTAGTATTTTCAGGTGGGCAAAGAAGCCCCTTTGCAAAGGTATTTTATTTACAAAGTTGGAGACATTATCTTCTATTTATTTCAAACAAAATTATTGGCCCACTTATATATGGAGAGCAACTGGGACCATTTTTCTAGGTGTGGCCTGTTGGAACATGTTGAGAGTTGAAATTTCTCTGTCTCACATTTATTCATTTCTTCTTGTTGTAAGTTGCTCCCTTGTATTGAGATCTGGCCTCAGCATGATTATGTAGCACTTGGGGATGAAGATGCAGCCAAGCAATCCAGCACTAGAGGACAAAATGGAGAAGACCTGCACAGCCACCATGTATTTCCCTTTGGTGCTCAGGTAGGTGGGTACAAAACTCACCCAGACACTGCAGAAGACCAGCATGCTGAAGGTGATCAGCTTGGCTTCATTGAAGGCCCCAGGGAGATTCCTGGCCAGGAAAGCCACTGTGAAGCAGATAGCAGCCAGGAAGCCCATGTAGCTGAGAGTGATATAGAACATGACAACAGACCCTTCATTGCATTGCAAGTTTATCACTCCAGACAGAGAGTGGAGGTCAGAGTCAGGGAATGGGGGAGAAACTCCAAGCCAAATGCAGCAAATAATAATTTGGACAGAAGAACAAGAAAGGATGATGGAGTTGGCCAAACTCTTCCCCAAACATCTCTTCACTTGGTTTCCTGGTTTTGTGGCCAAGAAAGCCAGCACCACCGTGATTGTTTTGGCCAAGAGAGAAGAAATGGCAACTGAGAAAGTGATGCTGAAGAGTGTTTGTTGGAGAAGGCAGGTGGCTTTCTTTGGTTGACCAAGGAAGAGAAAAGGAGACAAGAAGCAAAGCAGGAGGGAGACCAGGAGGATGTAAGAAAGGTCCCGGTTGTTGGCTTTGACAATGGGAGTTTCTCGGTATTTAATGAATATAATTAAAACAAGGCCTGTGATTAGGAACAAAACTAGGGCAAAAGACACCAGGATGATGCCCAGATTTTCTTTATATAACAGGAAGGATATAACTTTGGGGATACATTGAATTCGGTCCTCATTTGGATATTTATCATCCGGACATTTGATACATTTTTCCATATCTGAGAAAATAAAAAAGCAACAGTTCCTCAACATTCTGTCCTTTTAAATTTCAAGAAATACATTCTTGGAACAACAGCTGATAGCATGAGCATTTTCAAAGAATCATTTGTTAATATTTGAAATAGAAAATTTTCTGAAAAATATAATTATATCTCTGTCATTCTCTATCTATCTATCTATCTATCTATCTATCTATTTATCTATCTATCTATCTATCATCTATCATCTGTCTGTCTATCTATCTATCTATCTATCTAGCTAGCTAGCTAGCTAGCTAGCTAGCTAGCTAGCTAGCTATCATCTACTGCCTATGAAATGTGCAGAACCTTCATAGGAACCTACAATATTAGAGGTTAATAATTAGTGACTTAATCTTTCTAGACAGGCTTCCTGAGCCCTCCTGGATGGCACTTCTTAATATAATGGACTCAGTTTTTGTAACTTATGAACTCTAGTAAGCTGGCAGAGAAAGCTAGGAGAAATGGCATTTTGGCAGAATGAGGTATCTCCGTAACCGTCTACAGCACCTCATTGTGGACCACTAATACCTCCCCATATAGGCCCCCATAGAATACATTTGAATAAACTTTCCAATAATTATCCTCAGACAATTCCTCATGTTTCAAAGAAATCCAATCTTCCTAGAAGTCAAATGTAGATGGAAATTCCAAACTAAAAAGCAGAAGAGATATTTTATCTGGCAGTAGTAAAGGTTGCCCAATCTGCCACACTATCTTATCTCTTCCTAGCCCCAGGTCATTTTGCTAGTCTTCCCAGGTTTAATCTGTTTTTGAACATGTATTTTCATGAAAATGCTCTGAATGAATCCACTTCCATAAGATCTATCCTTTTCTTTTGTGTCACCCACCTTCCTTATTGGAGATGGTCCCCTCCGGACAAGGAATGCAGTCATAGCAGCAGACTGGCTCTCCTTCTCGAGCCCGCTTGACAAATCCAGGATGACAATTTTCCACACATTTGGACTGAGGCAAAGGCTAAGGAGAAAGACAAAGGAATGCCAAAGAAAATGCATTAGGTCTAACCATCTGTAGAATATAAAAATAAACATGAACATTAACAAAATAGTCTCTGGCATAACTTTGACAGAATAACAGCATAACAGAATATCAGATTTGGAAGGGACCTTGGAGGTCTTCTAGTCCAACCCCCTGCTCAAGCAGGAGACTCTATACCATTTCAGACAAGTGGCTGTCCAGGCTCTTCTTAAAACCCTTTAGTAATGGAGCATCCCAACTTCTAAGAGCAAGCTGTTCCACTGGTTAATTGTCCTCATTTTTCAGTACTTTCTCCTTAATTAAACTAGTTTCAATAATAATAATAATAATAATAATAATAATAATAATAATAATAATAATAATAATAATAATAATAATAATAATAATAACCACCCCTCCGAGGAGCTCTACCTTGTCGTGGTGGAGGGGCTTGCGTGCTCTAGTGATCCTAAGGGCTATGCTGAACAGGTGCAACCATATCAGACAGACCTTAGGTGAAGGGCTAGACAAAATCTGCTCCACAACCCATTCAAACATGGTGAATACAGAAAAAATGAAATTTATGCCGGCTGAACCATCGCCCGGATTAACAAGGGTTCCGTTGGATGCTATGGCTCCTGGGCATTCTACGCAAAATGAGTTACAGGGCTCAACTCCCTCTGCTAGGCAACCAGGGCATGGAGCTGACAAGCTACTGGAAGAAAAACCCAAAAAGCGAAAAATCTGGACCAGGGAAGAAAACACCTCTATTATGGAAGCTTACTATCAGTCTGAGCCAGCAAAACATGGATTTCAAAAAAGAATGTATCAGATTTGGAAGATGAACCATACGGACTGTGACACCAGTGAACAAAGGTTAATGGACCAACGACGTGTAATCCTAAACCACAAATTTTTCACTACAGAAGAATTAATAGCAATAGAAGAGAAAGCAATTAATGGTCTGAGTACAACAACAAAGAAGAGTAACATCAAGAATGATTTCCAGACTCAAAAGCAAATTGAGGAAGAAAGGGAAGAAGAGGATACTGAAATGGATGAAGATAAAGAACAAGGAAGCACTAAAGAACAAACACCAACAGATAGTGCTCAATTAGCTGGAAAAATAAAGCACCAAATGGAAGATGATGAAAGAACACGTTTGCCAAAGCTGAACCAAGTGAACCGGAAAGAATTGAGAAATGTACTAAAAAAGGTCAATGAGGCTGTGCAAACTATCCGAACCACTACATTAGCCGAAACTAACCAACTGATGTATGCAGCAGCTGTCATAACCACCAAAGAACTGGGGTTGAAAATACAAAAGAACCAAAGAGGCAAGAAGGGGAAGCCTAAGTGGAAAATTCGGTTAGAATTGAAGATCAAAAAAGTACGTGGAGATTTGAGCAACTTGAAGAACCTAAGGCAAGGTCAGCTAAAGAACAAGCAGATCAAAAGCAGCCTGGAAGCAAGATATGATCTAAGGAATAAGGAGATTGCAGTAGTAATTGAAGAACTGAAGCAGAGGGTTGTTGCCATCGCTGAAAAGATTAAAAGGTATGAAAACCGAGTAACTCAGTTCAAGGAAAACTCACAGTTCAGAGCAAATCAGCACCAGTTTTATAAGAATTTAGAAAATGGAAACGGAGTAACAACAAATGAAAAGCCTGATAAAGAGAAAGCTCTGAAATTCTGGAAGAATTTGTGGGAAAACAACAAGAAGCACAACAGAAATGCAAAATGGATCAAACAGGTTGAGGACTCTATTAAAGTGCATAAAATGGAAGACGTGAAAATAACAAAAGCAATGGTGCAAAGACAGTCAAAAAAAGTGAAGAACTGGAGTGCACCTGGACCGGATGAGCTGCATGGCTTCTGGTTAAAGGCACTTACAAGTCTGCACAAAAGATTGGCAACCCAGATGAACCAGATCCTAAAAACACCTGAAAATGATGGATGGATGACAACTGGAAGGACATTTTTGATCCAAAAAGATAAAGAAAAAGGAAAGGACCCTGGAAACTATAGGCCAATCACCTGCTTGCCAACAACATACAAGCTTCTTACTGGTATCATTGCAAACCAAATCTATGGATACCTGGAAAGAAATAACTTGCTTCCTGTAGAACAGAAAGGAAACTCAAGAGGAACAAAAGATCAATTGCTGATCGACAAACTAATCCTAAAGAACTCAAAGAAAAGACGAACCAACCTGTTCATGGCTTGGATAGACTATAAGAAAGCATTTGATTCAGTTCCCCATAGCTGGATCAAGAAATGCCTGGAAATATTAGGCATCAGCAGCAACATACAAAAATTCATGGAATCTTCAATGAACCTCTGGAAAACAAAACTTATGGCTAATGAAGAAGAACTGGGTGAAGTTGAATTTAAACGAGGCATTTTCCAGGGCGATTCCCTTTCACCCCTACTTTTTATACTCTCAATGCTACCACTGACAATCATTTTGAAGAAGATGAACTGTGGATACGAACTTGCAAAGAAAGGACTGAAAATCTCGCACTTGATGTACATGGATGATTTGAAGCTGTTTGGTAAAACAAAAGCTGAACTGAATTTATTAATTGAAAACACAAAAGAATTCAGCCAAGACATTGGTATGCAGTTTGGAATTGACAAATGTGCAACAATAGCAACCAAAGCAGGCAAGATCATAAAAGAGGATGGAATAGAACTAGAGAATGAAGAAATGATAAAGGCAGTAAAATCAGAAGAAGGCTACAAGTACTTGAGGATTTTAGAAGCCTCTGACTTAATGCATAATAAAGTCAAGGAATTAACTTCAGCCAAGTACATTCGGCGAATTCGTAAGATATTAATGTCCAAATTGAGTGGAGGAAACATCATAAAAGCCATAAATACCTGGGCTATACCTGTGATTAGATACTCTGCAGGAATAATTGACTGGACCCAGATGGAGTTAGACAATTTGGACAGAAAAACAAGGAAGCTTATGACAATGAATCATGCCTTGCACCCTAAAAGTGATGTTGACCGATTATATTTACCAAGAGCAGAGGGTGGTCGAGGACTCCTACAAGTAAAGCAGACTGTGGAAGAAGAAAAATGCAGCTTGAATGATTACATCCAGAAAAGTGAAGAACCAATGATTAAGGAAGTAAATAAAGGAGGCCTTTTAAAGACAACTAAAACAAAAGCAGAATATAAGAAAGAAGTAATTGAGCAGCGAGCTGAAAATTGGAAACACAAAGCTCTGCATGGCCAATACTTGAAAAGTATTGAAGGCAAAGCTGACCAGAAACTAACTTGGAACTGGTTAAGATCAGGAGTACTGAAAAAAGAAGCTGAAAGCTTTATTTTGGCAGCTCAAGAACAAGCCCTAGCCACAAACTGTATGAAGGCAAAAATTCAACATGTTACCACCAACAGCAAATGCCACCTCTGCAATGAGAAAGATGAGACAGTCGACCACCTGATCAGTGGGTGCAGCAAAATTTCACAAACTGACTACCTACAACGCCATGACCGTGTTGCTAAAATCATTCACTGGAAATTGTGCCAGAAGTTTGGATTTGAGTACAGCAAAAACCACTGGGAACATCAGGTTGAGAAAGTTTTAGAGAATGAGAAACTCAAGATCTTGTGGGACTTTAGGATTCAGACTGACAGGCACTTGGTCCACAACACACCTGACATAACAATAGTTGAAAAGAAAAAAGTATGGTTCATTGACATTGCAATACCTGGTGATGCACGAATTGAAGATAAGCAGCAAGAAAAAATCACAAAGTACCGGGACTTACAAATTGAAGTTGAGCGACTGTGGAAAAAGAAATCGTGTGTTGTCCCGATTGTAATTGGAGCCCTCGGAGCAATACCCAAAGGGTTACCCTGCTATTTAGAAATTCTAAATTTGCCGGACATGAACATTTTGACTCTACAAAAAACCACCTTACTCAGAACAGCTTACATCCTCCGATGATACCTTAACAGTTCCTAGGTCCTTGGTTAGGACTCGAGCTGCTGAGCTATTAACCAGCCTCAAAGGCTGTGAATCTCACTAAAGATTAACCAATAAATAATAATAATAATAATAATAATAATAATAATAATAATAATAATAATAATAATAATAATAATAATAATAATAATAATAATAATAATAATAATAATAATAATAATAATAATTTTATTTATATACCGCCCTCCTCCCGAAGGACTCGGGGCAGTGTACAGCCAAAATTAAAAAACATAAATATACAATTTCATAGTTAAAATTAATTAAATTCATCAAATAGTTTTGGCCGAATTTTAAAACCCAAAATTAAAACCCAATTTAAAATCATTCAATTAGGTAGCCCTGCCTGTCGGGACAGAAGGGTCTTGAGGGCACAGCAAAAGACCTGGAGATCAGAGATGTTACGAATATCCGGGGGCAATTCATTCCAAAGGGCAGGAGCTCCGACAGAGAAGGCTCTCCTCCTGGGTGTCGCCAGCTAGCATAACTTGGCCGATGGCACCCTGAGGAGTCCCTCTCTGTGGGAGCGAACTGGTCGGTGGGAGGCTGTTGGTGGCAGAAGGCGGTCCTGTAGATATCCTGGTCCTATGCCATGGAGCGCTTTAAAGGTGGTAACCAACACCTTGAATTGCACTCGGAAGACCACTGGGAGCCAGTGCAGCTCGCGCAGGAGAGGTGTTACATGGGCGTAACGAGGTGAGCCCATAACCACCCATGCGGCCGCATTCTGGACCAGTTGGAGCCTCTGAGTGCTCTTCAAGGGGAGCCCCATGTAGAGAGCATTACAATAGTCCAGACGGGAGGTGACGAGGGCGTGAGTGACTGTGCGCAAGGCATCCCGGTCCAGAAAGGGACGCAACTAGCGGATCAGGCGAACCTGATAAAAAGCTCCCCTGGCTACGGCTGTCATGTGCTCTTCTAAAGACAGCTGTGAGTCCAGGAGGTCGCCCAGATTGCGAGCCCTCTCTGTGGGGGGCAGAGATTCACCCCCAAAAGTCAGCGATGGCACCAGCTGACTATACCGGAATGCCGGAAGCCACAGCCACTCAGTCTTGGAAGGGTTGAGTTTGAGCCTATTTTTCCCCATCCAGACCCGCACAGCCTCCAGGCAGTGGGACATCACATCAAGGGCATCATTGGGGTGGTTTGGGGTGGAGATGTACAGCTGGGTGTCATCAGCGTACTGATGGACTCTCACCCCAAAACCACGGATGATCTCACCCAGCGGCTTCACATAAATGTTGAACAGAAGGGGCGAGAGGACCGATCCCTGCGGCACCCCCCAGGCGAGGCACCTCAAGGTCGACCTCTGCCCCCCTACCAACACAAACTGCGAGTGGTCAGAGAGGTAGGAGGAGAACCACCGTAACACGGTGCCTCCAATTCCTAATCCCCTCAACCGCTGCAGCATGATACCATGGTCGATGGTATCAAAAGCCGCTGAGAGATCTAATAGGACCAGGACAGAGGAGCAACCCCTGTCCCAAGCCCTCCAGAGATCATCAACCAATGCGACCAATGCCGTTTCTGTGCTGTACCCCTGCCTGAAGCCCGACTGGTACGGGTCCAGATAGACAGCTTCCTCCAGGTACCAGGGTAGCTGTCATGCCACCACACTCTCGACAACCTTTGCCACAAAACGAAGGTTGGAGACTGGACGATAATTTACTAATACAGCCGGGTCCAGGGATGGCTTCTTGAGGAGGGGCCTCACCACTGCCTCTTTCAAGGTGGCAGGAAAGGCACCTTCACTCAAGGAAGCATTTATAATCCCCTGGAGCCAGCCTCGTGTAACCTCCCGGGAGGCCAGTACCAACCAGGAGGGACACGGGTCCAATAAACATGTGGCAGCACTAAGCCTACCCAGAATCCTTTCCACATCCTCGGGAGTCACAGGGTCAAACTCTTCCCAGATAATATTCTCAAGACTCAACCCCGTCTCCCTCCCCGGACTCATCCAGTCAGAGTCCAAGCCTTCCCGAATCTGAGCGACTTTATCATGCAGGAACTGTACAAAATCCTCAGCTCGACCCTGCAAGGGATCTTCCCGCACTCCCACCCGAAGGAGGGAGTGGGTCACCCTAAACAGAGCGGCTGGGCGGTTCTCTGCAGATGCGATAAGAGCGGAAAAATAGTTAGATTTTGCCGCTTTTATCGCCACTAGGTAGGTCTTGATATAAGATCTCACCTGTGTCTGGTCCGATTCGGATTGACTAGTCCTCCAAACACTCTCTAGGCATCTTTTCCAACGCTTCATCTCCCTCAGCTCCTCGGAGAACCAAGGAGCCAGTTGAGGTCGGCATCGGGTCAGAGGCCTCAAAGGCACGACGCGGTCCAAAGCCTCTGCGGCCGCACTATTCCAGGCAGCCACCAGGTCTTCAGTCGAGTCATGTGCCAGAGTCTCTGGAAACGGCCCAAGCTCCATCTGGAACCTTTCGGGATCCATCAGGTGCCTGGGACGGAAACATCTAGTCGGTTCCGTCTCCCTGTGGCGGGGGGAAGCGGCTTGAAAGTCTAAGTGAAGGAGCGAATGATCTGTCCATGACAAGGGTTTGATGTCATTCAAATGAATGAATGAATGAATGAATGAATGAATAAATAAATAAGTTTCAAATGAATAAAAAAACTAGTTCCAAATAATTGTCAGTATTAGTACTGTTTTATAAAGCCTTAGTAAGACTGCACCTGGAAAACTGCATCCAGTTTTGGTTACCACTTTACAAAAAAGATGTTGAGCCTTTGGAAAAATAGGAAAGAGCAACTAAGATGATTAAGGGCCTGGAGGCCAAAACATATGAAGAACGGTTGCAGGATTTTGTTCTGCCCCAGCTCTGGATTTCCAAGGATATTGACACACACCAATGGTCCTTATCAAATTTATTAAGTAGCAAGAATAAACAAGACCGGCAAAGGTTGGCAACCAGCCCAGAAAACAAAATATGATAAACCAAAATATTCTGATAATAAATACGAGTTGTTTCTAGCAAGAAACTTACTAATGGCATGTGATTTAAATAGGCTAAGGGAGTGGCCAATTATCGTCAAGCCTTACTCTCGAGGAGACCTCCTCCTCCTGAGTACCCACTCCTGCCTTTTGGCAGCCCTGCGTGCTCAAGCATTGAGGAGAGGCTCCTCCACTTCGCTCTCTCCACATGAAGGAATCTCTGGAGGTTCTGAAGGCCCTGGCTGAGTCTCTGCCTCTGGCACCACATCCTCTTCGGCCTCCTCACTGTCCGACGCGAGCGCTGGCTGTGTAGGCTGCTGGCGTGACACCACACCAGCCTCCTCTTCATCGGAATCAGTCACGATCCGTGCAGGCCGCTGGTGGGCCACAACAGATTTGGGTGGCTAATCTAGAGAAAAGAAGAACTAGGGAGGACATGATAGCAGTATTCCAGTATTTGAGAGGTTGCCACAAAGAGGGAGGCGTTCAACTTATTTTCCAAAGCACCAGAGGGCAGGACAAGAAACAATGGATGGGAACTAATCAAGGAGAGAAGCACCCTGGAATTGAAGAGAAACTTCCTCATAGTGAGGACAATTAACCAGTGGAACAGCTTGCCTCCAGAAGTTGTCAGTGCTTCATCACTGGAGGTTTTTAAGAAAAGACTGGACAGTCACTTGTCTGAAATGGTATAGGGTATCCTACTTGAGCAGGAAGTTGGAGTAGAAGACCTCCAAGATTCCTTCCAGTTCTATTCTGGTTGAGATTAAATTTATTTCCCATAGGGACAGGACCTCCATTCAGTCTTGACTGAAATTTGAAATTTATCAGATTCATTCCAAACATGAACTTGGACAGAGAATTGCCAATTCTCTGTAAACACAATTGTAAACACAATCCCCATCACTTGAAGGCCTCTCTCAGTGTTATAGAGATACTAAATTGTAGAGGAAATACAAAAGAGTCATGATCTGTGTCCTAAAACAAATCACCCAGCATTCATGTTGACATGGCTGAATGAGCTTGAAGCTACATTCCATATTTTAGCAGCTGAAGGACACCATGGTCAATAGTCCTAAAGCAATCACAGAAAACTGTAAGAATTCTACTCCCCACATTGAATTCTCAGTAAAGATCATTTACCATGGTGTTCAGACTTAGCTCACTTGAAATGGGACCTAAGGATTTGGAAAACACAAAACACTGCAATATTTCACCCACATTCAGCAAATGTAGCCATGACAGAACATCTTGGTTGATAACAAGTCTTTGTCTTTCAAAACTCCCCAGTAGTTTTTTGATGGTATTCTTCCTGGGGACAACCACAAAGCTTAAGATGTTCAGATCTGCTGCTACATCTCCATTTTGGTGCAAGTACAGTTTCATTTTGGAAATATTGCAAAACTCATTCTTCTCCAGAAAGGGATGAAACTAGAATTAAGATATCCAGTTATTTTAAAAGCAGAAAACTTGATTTCTTTTTACATGGTCTTTTCATATTTAAACCTTTCTTCTACATTTTTTTTAAAAAAACTGTCAGATATTCTTAGTTGGGGATCAAATGTTATCAATATCCTCAAAAGCGGAAAAACAAAGGTTTAGCAATATTTGTCAATCATATATTGACAAAATACATATTGTCAAAATATAATTGACATCCTTCATCTTGCACTGTGGGCCTTTCTTAGCACTGGTAGGTTGAGATCACAGGTGGGCTGCTGGGAGTTCGCAGGGGTTCGAGAGAACCTCTAGCTATGATTCTGTACAGTTTGCAGAACCCCCAAATGCCACTCTTGGCTGGCCCACCCCACCCCTCCCCTCCCAGGAGTCCCAATGCAACCCATTCGGGATGCAAGTAAGTGCAAGGCATGCGCGGAGGTTTGGGGAAGCCCACCCCTAGTTGAGATGGTTCTTTTCCTTGTACTTTGGAATCCTTTGCAAAAGGAGCAACGTTGAATGGATCCTTGTCAAAACTCCATACCTGCCATGGCTGCAGCCTTGGGCCTGCCAACCAATATTTCCTCTCCTTCCTCCTCCTCCTGGATCTGGAGGAATATGCGGCCTTCAAGACATGGACCAGAGTCTTAATGACAGTGTAAAGGTCACGGTCATTTGAGATCCATTTACTATTCCTTTTCTTTCGGGTCTCCAGGGGCATTTTTTGGGTGCATCTTCTCCTGCCTTTCGCAGAAAAGACATGCTTTGAAAAAGAACAGTGAAAAGACTGACTTGCAAATTGGTGCTGCACAAAGATGTCAGGTTCAAAGTCATCCTTCTGAGGATTTTTTTTACCCTGAAAAGCAAAGGTCCAAATACTATGGACGTATTTGAAAAGAGAATAGTATTGAATTTCTGAATGCCAAAAGAGCGTCATGATCCAGACTTTCCTTGGAACAGGTCCTGGCAAACTATCAAGTGGTGTATGAAAATAAAGAAGTCTGTCCAAAAAGGAAGGATGTTCTATGAAGTGAACAAAGACATTGACTTGTCTCCATTTAGAGAGGGCATCCTTGATGGATGCTGTATCTCCAGTTGTTGAGAATTGCTGTGACAGAACAACACAAATTCCATTCCTGACAAGTACAGGAGTCAAAGTCCTCATGAAATTCTCTCCATTTTCTGTATCTGCAGCAAAGAGACCAATCATGGTCCATCTGAAATGGAGGAGCAGAGGGACAATTGCTGGGTACTGGATCCCTTGTTTGGGGTGCATCCGGTGGAAAAAAGGGAATTGACTTTTATCACTCAGAGCCTCAGAAACAAAACCATAACTAATCTGAGAAGAAAAAAAAAACAATGAAGAAGGCTGTGTTATATATGGGATCAGATCAAATCCAAAGTATTGGGTTTTTTTAAATAAATCCAAATACTGTAGGTTCTCATGAACATATTACAAATTATTTATTTCTAATTAGATACTGTATTGGGCAATATCAAAATACAGACTATAAAGCACAGAAAATTAATATAAAGCACAGAACATTAACAAGATTTAACAAGAACAAGGTAGAATTAAAGGGGAAAAAAACAAATGAAAAAGGAATATAAACAAAAAATGCAAATCATATTTCTTAATCATTCTCACAATTTGCCAGAACCATACCTATATCAGTAATGGGTTTCACCTACCTTTATGTTCTGTCCCTCTTCCTCACACAGGCAAACATAATACCAAGCACGCCTGCCAATATTTTATTAGGTAAACAGATTAGAATTCTTGGCAGACCAAGGTTTTGGCAGCAAAGTCGGGGTCACAACACTTTGCTACCGGTTCGGAACTGTGAGCAGACGCATGCCACTACCGCTTCACCCGAACCGGACCAAACACTGAGAATGAGAGTGATGTGCCCAAAGGAAGCATTACCCAAGGAGGAGACATCTTCGATAGTTTACCACATCAACTGTAGTAATTGTGCAAGCAATTACATAGGGGAAATGGCCAAGCGGTTACAGACCAGAGTACACAAACATGAACTGGCTATCCGACACAAGGAACAGCGCTCCCAGATCTGGACACATATGAAGGAATACAAACAAACATTTGATTTTCAAGAAGCTGAGGTTATTGTCCATGAGAGGACTAAAGGAGGATGTCTACTAAAAGAAGTGTGGTTCTCCAATAACAATTCCATCAACAGGCATATCAAACTGCCACTGGCCTACTAGGCTTTGAAACACCATTTAGACTAGAGCTCTTGATTTTGATTTACTAATGTAGACAAGTATTATGAGGATAAGAGCCAAGTCTTCTTCATTAATTCATTCAACCAAGAATCCTTCATTAATCCTGGTAAATCATTAATGTCTAGACTTAATAAAAAGTATGTCCTTAGTAAGGATTGATCCTTCTTCTCATGGCTCCAGTGAGTCCAAATCACAATCTCCAACAACTGCTTCTGTGAAGGGCTTTGATCAGTGCCAACAGTCTGTGTTCCATTTAAGAGCAATCAGTTTCCTCTGTAATTTTTCTCTGTTTATTGTATCAAATGCTGCTGCCAGGGTTCCAAGTAATATACCCACAGCAAACAGAACTAACATCTATAAAGGCAGAAAAAGGGTTGTTGTGGGTTTTTTTGGCCCTATAATTTCTATGTCCTTTTTATTTTCTTTTTATATATAAATAGAAACTACTATTGCCATTTTCGACTCAACTGGATATAGCATTTTTATATGTGTAAATGAATTGCCAATAGAGGGCCCTACTAACTGGGATACATTTTCAATGGTTCAGACGGTAGATGGTCTTCTGCAGGGGTCTTATTAATCTTCAAACCTTTTATGATTAATTTGATGATGAACATATTGGGGAAGGGGGGAAGTTGGCACGTCAGCTAACAATTTTTTAAATAAGGTGGTTAGTTAATTCTCTGGTCCCTATCATTCCATAAGGCATATACTGTATTATTATCAAGTGTAGGTGAGATAAATCCATTGGGATTCTTTTCATGAATCTGGGATTTGTGCACCATTGAAAATATCATTCTTTTGGCTGATATCATGTATGGAATGTCAGGTTCCCATCACTACTGCCCCTTGGTTTTGATGGGACACAAAGCTTTTCTTCACCTTCACAGGTGTACAGCAAAAGCGGCCAAAGCAATGAAGATGGTGTCATGAGAGGATATATCTGCTTTAATCCTTGCTTCCTCTCTTCTGAGCATCCCAATCTCCAGCCTTGATGCCACCATGGTGAAAAGCAGCTCTTGAATTCCATAGAGAAGATACAGTTGCATCTATTCCTCCCACACCACCACTACCACCACACTCACATTACAACACAGAAAAACACACACAAACCTGTGAGACTTTGTAGGGGCCACCTAATGTTGACATCTGGGTGGAGATGTCCCTTCTAGCTGCATCAAGAAGAGCCAAAAGGTTGTCCCTCCTTCCACAGCTGTAGTTGGGAACATTGGCTTCTCCAGTAGACAGCATGTCAAGCAAGGCATCTGAAGTGTCAAGTGTGTTAAAATACGTGTCATGGATATTGTAGCCCAATGTGAGATTGTGGAGAAGTTGGGGATTCCTGTTGACCACTTCAAAGTTGAAAATGAAGCCTGGAATTTTTGATGCACCATAAGCTAAAATACTGTAAAAAAGCGTTCATGTCATTACCACCAGCAACAATAGAAACACCAAAATAGTTTCTCCCTCCCCCCACCAATATAATCCCCGTTGTCTCCATAAGCCTACTCAGTCAATACTGATCCCAAATCAGGCACTAGATAGTTACCCTTCATCATTTAATATTTATGAATGTTGAGAAGATGGGATTGAGATAGTCCTCACCAGGGTTAAAAATCACAAATAAACCATTAATTACAGCAATATTAATTTTCATCTGTCCAGTAACCAGGAATCAACATCATTTAACCATTAAAGTAGAACCATCACCAAAAGAAGGGGCAGTTTTATAAGTGACACAGAAAAGCAACTCTAAAAACAAGTAATTCTGTATTATTATAAAGATCAGGAATTGATTACCAATGAGCAGTTTAAAATATAAGAAAATGGGCTAGGCCAGTATTCAAATGATCAATTTAGGATTGGTTAAGGAGAGGAAATGATCTGAACTTCTTTCAAGTATTTTTTGTTCCATCTTTGGATTTCTACATAATAACACATGGAAATTGAACCAATTCAAGAAGTTAGATCAGTTCTGTAACAGATGAGTAAGTGAAATATGAAAAGAAGACAGAATTACAAAGAGAGGGAATGCAGCTACATCAAAAAGAATGACTTACGATTGAGACTGATGATATGGAGCCATGTTGAAAGACAACATTATATCTGATAATTTTGTTGCACTGACAACTATACTAATGAGATGATCTCCTGGCCTGTAGTAGCTCCACGGTTTTTTTTCACCTTGGTTCTTGAAATACAGGAGGCACTTCATTCTAAGCTTCCCAGCGACCGGCTGGGGCACCAGCAGCACCAGCAGAAGCAGAAGGTCCATTATTCATGGGCCAAATTTATTAATCAATTTCTTTCCTGTTATACATAAAAACAAAAAGAGCTAGAAGAATTCAAAGCACTCTCCCAAGATAGAAATGCAGTGGCTTTCTTGATTCAAAAAGAGAGAAACCAAGATTCCTCTGTAAAGGAGAAAGTACATTGAAGAGCCTGTCTCAGAACTTGTGTCCAAAGAGGCATTTATCCTTTTCTGATAAAAGATTCCTTCCTTGTTCTTCCAGTCTGATGTTTACATCAAAGGCAGCCACTGGAGAAGTAGCAGACATTGTCTCAAACACCCAGGTGGTAATAATGACAGGGAGAAGCAATTTGTCCTCTGGGGTTTCTGAACTTCTTCCAGAACTCCATTAAAAACCAAATTGTTCTGTCTTATCAATAGGCTATAGTCACTCTTCCCCAAAGTTGCTATAACAGTGATGGTAAACCTTTTTGGCAACAAGTGCTAAAAACGTCATGCAGAAACATCGCGTACGAACAAGCGTGCTCGTCAGGGCTGTGCTCCGGCAAAGCCAAATTTCCGGGTTGTAGCGTGCATGCCCGGTGATCAGTTGGCTGGTGTGCATGCACAGGCTGGTTTTCAGCACTGCCGCACACATGAAGGGATCATGCTCCAAAAAAGCTGAACTTCCGGGTTCTGGCACACATGCGCACCCGACAATCAGCTGGCCGGCTCACATGCCCACACTGGTTTTCGGCACTGCCACACATGTGAAGGACAGCTGATCATTGTACATGAATACGCAGCAGAAACCCGGAAGACAAACAGGCAAGGCTGCATGTGCCGGGCGACATGGCTTCACGTGCCACTTTGGGCACATGTGCCATAAGTTTACCATCACGGCCGTATAACTTCTTGTTGTGGAGGTTAATAAATCAATGAACTGTGAATGTTTATCTCTATGAAATTCTACTTAAACAAATGAGCCTCTGAAGCAGTTAACAGTAAATGTTTTTATTTACATAATAAAAACAAAACAATATCTATTCAATTAATAAACAGCACTTAGTTACTTTGATAAATTATCCTGTCAGCTATATATCTTTATCTATATCTATTCGCTCTAAGCGATGTTATATCTGACTATTCTTCCTCAGAAGAAATAGTATTATAAACCACCAGAACTGTTCTTCTAACAGACTTCCAAACTGCTCACAGTTGTCTAGCGGAAGATCCTAGAAGACAATACAATACTAGACAGAAGAGCAAACTGAAGAGTAAACTGAAGAGCAAACTGAAGAGCAAGGGTTTCT